GTTTTTGGTAACATCATCTGGGATGATATTTATATTGGCATGGACGATATGTTCAAAAGCAGAAACCCTAATTAGGGAATCCTCATTAAAGTAGCCGTCATTATGCAAAACACATCGTCCTGGACGATTTTGTATCGGCTAGGATGATAGGCTTAAAACAGAAAGAATCCGCCGCCATATCTATTTAGGAATTACTTATTTTTGGACATCATCCAGGTGGATCGTCCAGGACTATAAAATATCGTCCAGGACGATCAAGGATAAATTTTCCAAAAAAATTCTAGAATTTAAGGAAAGAAATTGTGACTTGATTACACGATCAAATCGTCCTGGACGATCGTTAGATCGTCCTGGCCGATATGCTGGACGATTGGACATCAGATAGCTCATTTTCAGGGCAATGTTCAGGACAATATTTCACAATTTATACTGATCGTCCAGGACGATATATTATCGTCCTGGATGATAAAAACAAATTCCTTCTGATCGTCCCAGCTGATTGGGCTTAAATTTCACTGATCGTACAGGACGATATTAGTATCATCCTGGACGATAATGTCGGCAACTTGCATTAATGAGCTCATTTTGAGATCTTCTATTTAAGCTTTAGCAAGTCACTTTGTAAGTGTCTTTGGCAGCCATTGTAGCTTCGTTCTTTTGGGGGAAACTTGAAGAGAGAGCTTGAAAGGGAGTGAGGAACGGGTGAATTCTGAGAGAGGGAGAAGATCCTGTAAGGGGGGACTCAAGAGAGTGTGGAGGGGGATTCCACACGGTTGCTCCGGCAAGCTTCCACCTTAATATTGCCGGATTCAAGGCTTGTCTCGAGGGAAGTTCACCAAAGAAGAAGATCTCTTTGGTGTCAAAGGAACCGGCGACTCCGCCGCACCGGGGAAGGTGGAAGTGATTTTGTAAGGGCTTCTCCGCCTAGCTGTGGGGGCTAAAGGAGATACACTTGTTTTAGTGCAATACTTGGAGGGTGCCTCCAAGGAGTTGACATAAGTCAAGGTTTGACAGAACCACTATAAATCTGGTGTGTTCTTTCTTTATTACTTCCGCATTTAATTTTTGCATTTGATTTTTATTGTGGTGATAATCGTTTTGGTTTGTGTTTTGATTTAAAGATTCTTCTTTTCCAATTCACCTCTCTCTTTATTAGCCTTGGGCCAGTTCATAAGGGGCCTAACATCACTAACGAACTTTCAAACACGCGAATAATGTCGGTTGTTCTGGCGGATTTTTTTGTGTCGGTAACTACGGCGGTTTCACCGGCGCATTATGCATTATGCGAAGGAAGAATAATGGTGTTCTTTTCGGTGCATCCATCAACGAAAATTTTCTGGCATCCAATGCGCCGGTGGTAACGATGGAATATACCAGCATTTCATTCGTTCGCAGAAATAGCCTGGCGCATTTACTGGCAGATAAGACGACGGCCATTTTAAACTCAACGACTTGTAACCGGCGCAAAAGACCCCGGAAATCATTCCAGCGAACATTACGCCAGAAAATCCGCCGGCAAAAGCCCTATTTTTGAACCCGAGCCCGTCTGGCTGCTCATTTCATTCCGTCGTTTCTCACATCTCTGCTCTCTCTCTCGTCGCCCCAGCGTCGCCCCACCCTAGATCACCGTCGCCGAGCCTTCTGGACATTCGCGGGATGTTGCCGATGATCACCGCCTTCGTCGCCGGCTAAAGGAGACTTGTTTTGCAAAAATCGACCGTCAGTTTCCACCGCCTCCCGATTTTCCGCAGCCTCACGATTTCTTCGATTGTAAGATTTTTCTTCATGTTATTTCTTATTAGACATTTGCTAGATGATGCACATATTAGATGTTTTTTTGTTGATAAACAAAGAGTGAATATTTTTCAAAATCAATTTGGATTCATGCCGAGAAGGTCTATTATGGAAGCCATACATTTATTGAGAGGTTTGATGGAGAAATATAGAGAGAATAAGAAGGATCTACATATGATATTTGTTGATTTAGAGAAAGCATATGATAAAGTTCCAAGAGGAGTGCTATTGAGAGTTCTTGCAAAAAAAAGAAAAAGAGTTAACAGCGCTTATATTCAAATCATTATAAATATGTATGCATGAGCTATTACTTGTGTTAAAACACTAGGTGGTTTGACATAATAATTTCCTATTTCGGTTGGATTACATCAAGGATTTTGTCCGCCGGTAATACCGAGTTTTCCTGTAGTGAACATTCATTACACTACTACTGTAAATTGCTACAATCTATAGCATTTTAATTTTATGGGGAATATATATATGATCAATATTCCATTGTCTATAAATCTCATAAATATGTGAGGTAATAAAAAGAAATCTCATAACTTTCAAATAAAAATTATCAGTAGCACTAAACTTATGATCAAATAATAGCATATAATCTCTTACATTCTCAAAATCATTAAATTTAGTTGGTTCAAGCTCTTTCATGAATAAAAAATAAAATAAAATAAAAACTCTTTCATGAATAAGATTAATATCTTTTATTGAATTTGCATGTCGCTATTTTCATGACACTTATCAATTTAATTTATGCAGTGCTCAACCACGAAAACTATGTAAGAGTCCATGGAATGAAAATAACTTGAATATTTAAATACTAAAGAAAAAGCTCTACTAATTGTCTTAAATGAAAGAGTGTAAATGGTAGAAACCTTAAATTTGGAGCTATAAGCCCCTTCTTCTAATTTTTCAGATTAAAAGTGGATACTGAAAAATACTCTCAAAATTTTGTAGATCAAATTTGTATATCGAAATTATCAATATTACTTATTATTTTCATTCTAAGGCCATTCATAAAATTATTAGCTACTTATGAAACCTCATAATTAGTTCAATTTGTTCAAGCTAATAAATCATTAAAGTATTTAAATATTCAAGGTCCAGCATTATTCATTGTCTTATAGGTAAAGTTGGTCATACACTTTCTTTTCATAAAATCTAGGCTAGTATTTTGATAGTTCTCATTTCTTTTATTTATATTCAAATTAGTGCATTTCTGCTTTTTTTTTTTTATTTGCTGATAAGGAGATTTTCTCAATAAAATGTATCATATCCTATCAAGTCCATTTTAATAAAATTTATACTTTGATAATCATTCATAATATGCTAGTCAAAAAAATCCATCCATCTCAATAAAATAGATAAAAATATTTTATTAAAATTATATCACATAAAAAAAGCAAGGGATTCAATTTTTATCTTATTATAGAGGTCATCATACGACCTAATTTCATTTCTAGTATAAACCTTTAGTTTCCCATTACAATTTATTTTCCTATAATGAGCATGTAAATTAAATTCCATGCTTGCAACAGATGGGGATTGTCACCAACCCCATTATGTTGGTCAGTTGTATGTGGGTTTTCAGCAAGTTGCACAACTAAGATATTTTATTTTGTTAAATGAGCAGCTCGTTAATAGGCTCGACAAATTTAAAATGAACCGAACTTGAACAAGAACACGATCAGAGCTCAAATAAGTTTAAGCAAGCTGATGCTCAAACAAAGACCAAAAAGCTCGAATCATTTCGAGCCGATCTCGAACATGACCTTGGCAAACGAGCTCGAGCCAAATATGCCAACACATGGTTCTGCTCGGTTCGTTTACAGCCCTAGATTCATGTCACAACATTCAAAAGTTAATTTTGATTTCTAATATATTGCATCATGATTTATAAATTAACCACAATGTTTTGCAAGTTTTAAATCTTATCATCACTAGTTGCTCTTAAGTTTGCAACAATAAGGTATAAAATCTGCTAACTGATCTCAGAGAACGAAATCATGATGAAAAATTGCACTATGAACTTTTGTTCTCCCTTAAAAATAAATGTATTTGCAAGTATATAAAAGAATGTAATCCTCAAACACTCAACAAATATGGATAACTATCAATAAATATCCATATACGTGTTAATGAAAAACAAACAACAAATAATATAAATCAAATTTCAACGGCTGGCAAAATAAAAATTTTTTGAAGTAGACCACTGCTTAGCTAATTAGGAACTCTTGTAAACTAACTAAACTTCATGCTACGGTTAGCTATAGCTGATATATGGTGCTAAAGCCATGTGAAGTACTGTAAATAGTTCATAGAATTGCCAACTAATATCCAAAAACGATTTCAAAATTTTTATTGCAAAGATAAGTTATAATATAAAGAAATTTAAAAGCTGAGAGATTTAGAGATTACTGGCAAATAAAAATCAAGTCTCCACATGTTGATGTCTATTGATGGTATAATGATTGTTGCAATGATTGCTCCTTACCGTGCCTTCAAAATTCCTTGAAGGCTTGGCACAGAGGTAGGTCTCACAATGGGTTAATCAGTCAAGTTTTGATCTGACCCAAAATTGACCCAACATGAATTTACTCAACCCGAACCCGACTCTTTTAATAAAGTGGTCAAAACCATAGATCCGATCTGCTTAACAACCTGAATGATCGAAATTTGACTCGATAATACATTTTGATTAAAAATTTTATAACTTATTAATTATAAAATTTAGAAAAATTGATCAAAAAATAAAGATATTATACCAACAAAAAAAATAATTTAAGGAAAAACATAAACAAGTAACTTTTGTCTTCAAATTGGGTTCACAACTCAATTCGAATCCGACCAGTTTAATAAACAGGTTGAAACTCTAGACCCAAACTTAGCCCTTCTATTAAAAAGTTCAATATGAATTTTCAATTCAGATCTAGGTCAAGTTGGCTAGTCGGATCTTTTTTGACACACCTATATAAGGCACCCTAATCTCTCTCTCTCTCTCTCTCTCTCTCTCTCTCTCTCTCTCTCTCTCTCTCTCTCTCTCAAATAGATTTATAGCTATAGGTGTTATAAGAATCTCAGATGAACTATAGTCAGATGTTACCATCAAATATATCTAGAACTGCAATGATCTCATCATCCCTCCAATTTCAAACCTCTTCCATTTATAATACACCCAGTATTTGCAGCCTAAATTGCTGAGTTTATACCTCAACTTGAGTACACTAAGACAATGTAAACTTAACAAAGAGGACAAGAAACCTAAGTTGCAAGGATATCGACCAGAATTAGAACAGGTATGATTACAAACATAACAGATAAAGTAACATCACTACGCCGGTGAGGAATCCATCCTCTAATTGCCAAGGATAATTTCACTTGCTCAGTTAACAACAGAAATAATACCTAATATATAACTGAAAATTCTTGGAAAACGCTAAACCTACCAGCTTTCCTCCATTAAGCATTACCTGAGATCCGGAATCTGTTTTCTCTTCATGTTCTTCCTCAAGCCGTCATTTATCGAGACATGCGATAAACCTACAAAGACAAATTTCTTCCTCATCCTGGTATGCAACTTGAGAGTAGGTCCACGACCATTCTGAGGAGATAGAACTCCCGTTCTTCTATTTATTAATTGACCAAGTGAAACTGTAGCTTTGCCATTAGATCTATCAGATATTCCTATATTATAATCATCAGGACCTACTAATTTCCTACTAAGTATTTCTCCTATAGATAATGTATGCTTCAACCCATTCCTTGGATCATCTGTAATCAAATTCATCTCATTACAGTCAAGCATATTGGAGTCTCGTTTATGATGACCTGGGTAAGAGTTTTTAAATTTGGTAGTGTTGTAAATATGGCGTCCCTTATGCCCATGCTCAGATCTCCATTTCCTAAAAGCTTCTTCAACTGCCCTCTTTCCACTGTTTACGGTTTCTACCCTGCTCAGAGCCTCTTCTAAGACCTTCCTCCTGGTTTTTAAATCTTCTGTAGCTTCCTCAATTTTACCCATCAGTTCCAGCTTAGATTGGTTTGCTCTTTCTAGCTCGAGCAAGGCAGCTTCAATTTTATTCCTTGAGGATTCATCAGCCTCCTGAGCTTTCTGAGTTAGCTGGACATATTCTTTAATCGACAAGATTACTGTAGAGTTGTTTTGCAAACATGCAGTTGAACTGTTGCAGTTTAATAGAGCTTTACTCTGAGCAAGTGCAGCAGCTTCAGCAGCTTTGCTTTCTTCTTCCATCTTCTTCACAGCTAGCCACCTAATTTCAGTAGCCTTAATGGCAGCCTTCATATCTTCAATCTCATGAGTTAGCCTGAATACTTCAGACTTAGAAGCTTCGGTTGCATGCCTAAACTGTTCCCTCACAAAAAGCAGATGGTTGATCTCCACTGAGGTACATGCAGGATCGTCATTACGTATATCTTTTGCATCTTTTGTGAACTGCAACCTCAAGGTAATATGCTTCAATTCTTCTTCTAAGGAAGAGACATTAGCTCTTTTCAACGAAAGCTTTTCAACGGTTTCCTTGAGTAAGGCTTTCTCCTCCCCTACTTTAAGGTTGAATGATTTAATGGAAGTTCGTATGTCAGCCAGATTGCTTGTTGTCATTCCCAGATTCATCTTTGCTTGCTTGAGCTCGACTAAAATTGAACCAGGAGACGGCACTGCATGCATAACTGCATGGAGTGAATCCACACGTGTAATTTCTCCTTTGTGATCCACGGCGGGTTGGAACTTTACATCACCTGATAATGATTCAGTAAATATATATACTTGAGACGATTCTTCATGTAATTGGGATTTCAATCTATCAACAATTTTTTTAGTCATTTCAAGTTCACTCAAAGCCTGAAGAGTCTCTTGTTCTTTTGCCATGAGATCCTTCACCACCCGAGAAGTCTGTTCCTGAACATTCCTAAACTCTAGCTCCTCAGCAGAATGATGTTTCTGAAAAGATAAGCCACTATTTGAGAGATCGATAACATCAAATGAATTGAATAGCATGATAATTGATAAGAATAGATTAAAGTGAGTTTGCGTTTCAAGGGAGAGCATAGAACACTAATTAATTGCTTCAAAAAGGCATCTGAAAAACCTAAAAATCACCACATGGCTCAGGCCCCTTCGTACCACCTCACACCCTAATTTTGGCGATACAATATATTTGTGTTGGAGAGTCTATAATTGTGCATTTTTTCACAATATAAAAATCAGCTCTGCAGCCTCATAGAAGGTCCAAGGCCTGGTTTTACTATTTCTGCTCAAGTTTCTTTAGAGGACATAACTAATTATGAAAGCCAACGAAAGCCACAAAAATTATAAATTAGATGACAAGAGCAACAAAAGAATGTTATAATAACATCTAGATTTAAACAAGTAATTTTCTAACTTGGCTATTTATTGACTCAACAAACCAAACAAATCAAAATAATGACAAAAATTATTCTACATAACAAAAATAAAAAATAAAAAAGGGAAAACTAGCAGATACAATGATTAAACTAGCACAATAAAACTTGGATGAAGGTTTAGCAAATTAAACCAATGCAGTAGCTCAAATACAACAAGATTGTATCGTTTCAGAGCAAGAAAAAGATTTATAAACTAAGATTGCGCATGGCAGATATGGATGACTTGATCTCAGTGATAACATTATGGTTACTTGAAGTATATTATCCTTAAATCACAAGTGTGCCTTGATTTGCACGCAAGTTTCTTTGACTTCTATTTCTAAGTGGTCTCTCGACTAAGATTTATCAAGCTATGCTTGGACGCTTCCACAACATAGCCTCTGGGCTGAGATTAAAGAAGCAAAGCTTACGCTTGCAACTAGGATTTTATGGAGTACATATCTCTCAGTTTTGGTTTCTCTCTAGGCATGAATAAAGGTTCTAATTGGCTTCATTTTGGAAATTGATATCTTGATGAATTTTTTTATTGCTTGATCTCTTTTATATTATTTTGTGGTGCACCACACCTCGATCCTAATTACCACTTCCATTTTGAGTAACATGACACACATAGCAACTAGATATAATTGCTTAAATGAAAAAGTAAATAAAAAATTGAATACTGTTGGCTATTGATATAAGAATGATAAACGATAAATTTTATGACTTTCAATTATCAACAATGCAATGAAGTTTTTTTTTTTAATTATCTTCATAATCTAGTTTTTTAAAAAAAGCATTTATTATGTTAAAATTACTGTTAGAAATGGACTTTATGTTATTATTAAGTTTTAGGTTTATTTTACATGCTGAAAATGATTTTAGGGTCAACTAGTATTTTAGACATTATATCGCTTGGCTCTTTTATAAATAAGACCTATGGTTTATTATTGACGGTTAAAAATTGATGATATGAATTTTTTCCCTTGTATTTTTGGGCAACCACCGCCCTTCAAAAGTGCATGAGGACTATGTACTTTCATTGTTTGTGTTTTTTCATTGGCTGTTATTTGTTTCCATCAATCAAGCTAAGTTCTAGGATCCTCCATGCTACATGCTAACAGTTCATCATTTACAAGTGCTTTAGTTTACTTATATCTTTCAGTGGATTTCTTGCTGTTTACCTTGATTCACATTTCATTCTATTAATTCTCTATCATTTGATGTCAAAGATTGGAGAATTAAAATGAAGATGGAAAGGGGAACGATGAAGAGAATAGGGACTGCAAGTAAGAAAAACTAGAAAATTTATAAAAAATTGTTGTGGGCTAGAATATTCACCGAGGTAGAGTGAGTAAATTTTTCGTCTTACCAAAGCACGGATATTCAGCACACAAACAGATAGTTGGAGAGAGAGAGAGTAGTAAAACACTATATATTTTTTACGTGGAAAAACTAAAGAGGGAAAAATCACGGAGGCTCGCCCAAGTCATAAGATTCTTCTAAATTTGAGTAAATTACAAAAGTTTACCCGTTGACATAAAGGCGGTGGAATTACAATAGTTTGGAGAGTTGAGCGGAAGTCCAGCAAACAGTTGGGCAGAAGTCCAATGGCGTTCGGACAAGAGTCTGGCAAAAACCAGATGATCAGAAGACAATCGGTGATCGGGTGGTGGTCCGATGATGGTTGGTAGAAAAATCTGTCGGCAATCATCCGGATAGAAAACTAATAGCGATCAGCGGCCGGACGGTGGTACGACGATGGTAAGACGAAAGTCAGATTGCAAGGTAGAAGTTTGGCAGCGATAGAAATCTGGCAGCGGTCGGTGACTAGGCAGTGATCGGGTGATGTCCAGCGACGGTCAACAGTCTGCGACTAAGAGGTGATCTGGCGATGGTTGACGGAGGCTCGTCGACGGTGGTGCTGGAGCTCTCAAAGTCTCAGAGCTCTCCAATCTGGAGCCAAAGATCTCCTTAATGTAGAAAGTCTAGAATGTGAGGATTTATTTATAGATTTTCAGGAGTGGCACATCCTATAAATATGGAGAAGATTCAAAACAGGTTTGGAGTACTCCATCGGATGACCCATATTGATTCCCCAAATCATAGAGTAATTTTCAAATATTTAAATGCCTTAAACATGTCGGAATTAAGTGATCTTGGGCTTATTGGAATTGTCTTGTCGAGCCGCTCGATTTGAGTATAAGTATGCCATATTTAGATATCACACGATCATCTAATTTATGCTTTAAACCTTCAAAATGTGCTTTGGTTCCTTAATTTGGACCCATTTGGGCTTGGATTGGATCAATTTTGGTGTCGTTGGATTCGTATCTTCGAGACATTCAATTTGATTATAAGTTTGCTAAAACCAAAGTTTGGATGGTCCCAAATTTAATTTTGAAAGTTTCCAACATGGATATTTCTCGAGATTCGCGTTCGATCAAATCGATTTTAGTAATATATCAGTTATCCACTTATTTTTTATGTCAAAACTTGTGGAGTTAGAGAATATATATATATATATATATAGTTTTAGTATTCCTTGGAGTCGGAATGCTCATCGGAGCAAAAATACCGAAAAATTTACTCTAAAACTTTTCAAATAAATCAAAACCGATCATAGAGGCAATTTTGAGATTCGAGAGTTCCAACGTTGAGTCCAGAACGTCGAAAAATGATTCCAAAGACTCCAAAAAACATCCCAAACAAACTTTTTTGGACAAAAAAATTTTATTTTTGTTTTCATGTTTTCTTTTTTTTCTTGATAGCTCACACCTACTACAGTGACGCCTCCTTTGAGACGACACAACAGAAAAGGAAAACAATAATATTTTTAATATTTATTAATTTCCTTTTATAATTTTTCGAAAAAAAAGGAAATAAATCCCAAAAAAATTCTGAAATTTTATGAGGAAGGAAATAATTAATTTTTATTTTTAATTATCATTATTTTTAATTCCTTTTCTTTTTTTTTCATAAATAGAAATAATTGGTTTTTTGGAATTAAATTTTTTTGAAAATTAATAAAAAATTCAAAAAATTCTTTCAAGTTTTCCTCTTAAAAATCTATAAATACGCCTAACACTTAGGGGTTAGGAAGCGGGGACTACTTCTCTAATCTAGTCCAAACTTAAGGGAAAAATGGATTGGCAAAAATTAAAATTTTAAGATCATTATTGCAGTTGAAGGCTCGATCCTTCGTTGTGGGCTTTAGTCTTCATCTGAAGACTATCCTGAATGAGTCGCAAGATCGTCAATAGCGATAAAAGTCGGCCCTCTGTTGTAGGCTCATGTATTCCTTTAATGATTGTCCTGTACAAGATGCAAGAGCATCAATCTCCGATAAAGATTGGGTCCTCCATTGCAGGCTCCTTTCTTCCTCTGAAGATTGTCCTGTAAGAGTCGAAACACCGTCAATTTTCAATAAAGGCCCAATCCTTTAGTATTAGATTAGTAGCTGGTGACAACTGAGGCCAGACTTTTCCAAAATTTGGAAATTGATATAAATGATATTGGCAAGACTAGCAATCAGTGGAGCAGTTTAGATCTATTATCAGGGATGCGTGTTTCTAGGAGTTCAAATATTCTATCAGGAGATACTATTTGAAAATTTTCCTTTGAGGTGCTTTGATATAATAACTTTGATATTCATCAAAAGCCAATTTCACATGTGTTTCTTCAGATAGTGGATTAATGAATGCATCAAGAATTACCTCCTGCCACCGAATAAGTGAAATAAGATAAAGCATAGAAGGTAGATATTTTTCCTTCTACTATTTTTAATTTTAATTGGATCATATAATTAACTTTCTCCCTTACATGATGGTGATAGGAGAAAATCCCATGGAGCAATGTTAGTTGATAATGTTGCACCCACCATTAGTGATACGCAACAAATTTTATATACCAAATTATGTATTGATTATTGCACCAAAAAGAAATGATAGAGTACATGTTCCTCCACCTAGATTTATAGCCGTGCATGAGATGACATTATGCGCAAGATTTAGATTTCCCCCAGCACTCAAGTTGCTTGATATTTTCAAGGCATGTGGCGTCACTTTATCCCAGTTCTTATAACGAGTATAGTTGGTTTAATAATTTTTTTAGAGAACGTTGAAAAACATTAACTGTCGAGCATTTATCCAAAATGTGCAAATTTACAAATGATTCTCAATGTCGACTCACATGTCGGAACAATAAAAATTGGTTGACTATTTTGACTCGTGAACCCTCAAAAAATTGGTCCAACTCAATCTTTTTTGAAAAGAAAATGAATGGGGCATTCAAAAAAAAAGGGGGAGGCTAAAGGAACTGCCAAACTTTCCTCACCTATGAGAGGAGGGGATATTGAAAACTCTTAATTTTTCTGATACAAAGAATCTTCACGATGAGTTACGTCACATAAGCTAATATGTACTGGAGGAAAAACTTTTTAAAGTTGGTCTTTCTATTCAAGAAGGAAGATCTCATGCAGTTTGGTTGAATATGTCTAAGAAAGTTTGTGAAGCAAGTCTCAATGTTTTAAAATCCTCATCCAAAAACATTTCAGGA